AAAATGGCCGCCCCCCCCCCCTCGCCGCTGGAGGGATCGGGTCGTTCGTTTGGGAGCTGAACCAAGGGGTGTGTGCAGGGGGGGGAGGCAGAAAGCGGACCTCAAGGGGTGGGCGGGCGCGGGGGCAGCGGGGTCGTGCGAGAGCAAGGCCTGCTCGGGGCGGCGTGGAGGGGGGGGTCACGCCTTGCCCTCCTCACCCCAGCCGGGAAACCGGGAGCGTTCCTTACCCGGCAATTATAGAATCATAGAATGTTTTAGGTTGGAAGGAACCTTGAAGATCATATTGTTCCAACCCACCTGCCATGAGCAGGGACACCGTCCACTAGACCAGGTTGCTCAAAGCCTCATCCAGCCTGGCCTTGAACACTGCCAGGGAGGGGACAGCCACAGCTCCTCTGGGCAACCTGTTCCAGTGTTTCACCATCCTCACGGTGAAGAATTTCTTCCTAACATCTGATCTAAATCTGCCGGGTTTTAGTTTACAGCCATTCCCCCTTGTCCTATCACTACTATGTTTGCTTTTTCTTCTGGAAAAGCTCCAACGCGGCAGAATATGGCGGACGTGGGGAAATCTATGAAAATAGGGGTGAGGTGTTTTTTTTCCTTGTTACGTCATTACGACAAACAGAAGTTGCTTGCTAAAGAAAAACAGTTTGCAGTCTGCCATGATTTGTCAGCCTGGCACTGCCGGGATTTCCTTCAGGAGGGTGAATCCGCACAGAAACACTGGTCCTGTGTTTGCTCTGTACTGGAATGTGAAGGCCCCCCCCACGCTTCCCCACTGTGGCCTCTGGCCCGCAGTCGCTTGCGGTGTTGCAGGTGTGTCGCTGCGCTGCTGTAACATGCCCGGCTGATTAACACTCTCTTTTCTGCAGGCCTGATCCTGCTCAGATGAATTGGGTTTGCACGTGTGCCACCGAAGATAGCAGATACATGTGCGTATTCCATCTCCGCTACATAGCGGACTGCCTGAGCTGCTCAGTTTACATCAGTGGTGTGTATGCCAGGTAAGTCTTGGGGTCTTGTTCAGGACTGCTGTAGTGTACTTACACAGATTTGTATAAAAGCACATATCAACAGCTTGAAAGATCATCAACGTCCTTGAAGTGGATTCCCAATCATTTCCAGTTATTCCCGTAAGGCATAGCTGCTGGCTTTACCAGTTTCATATAACTAGTTACAAAAGTGCTGGTGGAGTTACCTCTAATTCTGTTGGCTAATTTTTTGTAAGGAAAAGCAGCCGAAGTACCTATGATGTGCACCTATCTAATTGCAGTCAAAGGTGATGGTGACCAGTTCATTGTAATGACGGGGAACTGTCTTTAGAAACTGATTATGTCACACCACAAAACGCTGAACACTACCAATTCATGGATCTGTGGGCACTAGTTGTCGTATAGGGTAAGGCCAAAATTGCTTTAAAAAATTATTCCAACACAGATTTGCCCTCTTTGTAATTCTTTTATCTCTCATCCTACTTCCCCCCAGCAACCTGTTTAATATTTTAGTTCATTGCTTCAGTTTGAGTAACTTTGGCTGACTTACAAAAGCATTGTTCACGTAACTTCAGCTGAACAAAAAAGAATGGTGGTAGTATACATAAAAGAAGGAAAAGTGGAGGGAAAAAAGTCCTAAATACACTGCTGCTGCATACATTCTGTTCTGCTGGCTGTCAGCATAGAGAGAGAGATGTTACAAAAAGTTTTGTTTAATGATATTTAGTAACGGAAGTATCTTGGATATTAAGCCCAGATACTGAAGTTGCTACTTAGTTGCCTAACTAATGACAGGCCATAATAGCAGACTGTGACCACTGGCCCCTGGAATTTTTAGTTTATTTCAGCTGTAGAGCAAAAAAAATCGTGAAGCAGGTACACTTGTATTGTTCATAATATGTTTCTTCCTGTTAATAATGAATTATGCCTTTGGTTATCATTTTTATAGAAGCAGATGTATACTTGTATACTTCCATTCTTTTTTAATGAACGCTTCTTTCTGTAATAAATTTTTATGTTCTTGTGGCACCCACAAGATGGCCCTCGATCTCTTTTTCAATAGTTGCAGGTTTGGGCACAGCGTTTACAATCTTATCTCAGTAACAGAACAGATCTTGAGAAATAGTAGATCAGATAAATATTTGCTTAAGAATTACATTGTTAGTAATTTCACAGAAGTTTCACTGATGACTTATATCTCATTCTGTCAAATAGTTGTTAACCCTTTTTCTCGGTCGTGATGGGTTGCTGTGATCCATGGTAAAAATTATTCATCCTTGATACTGGACATGTTTTTCTTTTGTAATTAATTTAGTGGACATGTAATTAATTTAGTAGACATGTTTCTTCAAAAAGTGTAGTTGAATTTGAGTCACAAATGTGTACTCCAAGTAAAGCGTTTTAGTAGCTCATACCTGCGGTTAGAAAACTCAAGCACTGTGTCACACAGCTGGAAAAGAATTTCTGCTCTGTGCTGATGCTACATTTTTTACAGCTATTGTTGTTAGTGAAAAGCCATAAATATTTTTTCTACTGTACATAATAGCCAGGCAAGCCTAAAGAAAAGAGAGCAGGTGTTATGTGTCATCTGTGTAGGCTTTCTTTTGTCCAGGAATAGCCTGCATCAGCCCTCACCTCTACGCTCTTTACAGAAAACTGAAAAGGCCTTCGTAATTTTCAAGCTGCAAGAAAGATTTTCTACCTGTGCAACAGCGTCAGAAAGAGAATATGAAAATGGTGGTCCTAGGGACTCCCATTGCAGGGAGGAGGTAGCAAAGGAAATGGCTGCAATGTTTTTTCCTGCTTGCTCGTTATTATTCATTAAGCTCGTTCTCTTCCTGCCTTCCCTGAGCTGTCCCTCAATATGACAAAGCAGGCCTTGAGCAACAGAAGTTGCCATTTACAGCCTTGTTCCCACACTGAGCAATGACTGAGCAAACAGGAAAGATTCTGGTGAAAATTTTCTCGCTGTTAAAAGGAACGAGATGTTTACAATACTCCTGCCCTCACCAGTAAGTGACGCTGTCTACCAAGCGCGTGCAGGGTATGTCTACATTTGTGGC